CTCAACGCGGTGGACGCTACGACAGTGGCGAGGATCGGAGCTCGAGTCCCAGCCTGCCAGGCCCTCGGGCCTTCGGCCGACACATCCTCAACGCTGCGTTCCCCCCGAGGTACCGACCGCCCACCAATATCCTAAAATATTCTAGAGAATCGAACCCCGGGCTTTGGTTCGAAGACTATCGGCTTGCCTACCAAGCCGGTGGTGCGAGTGATGACAATTTCATTATTCGCAATCTTTCGCTATTCTTGGCCGATTCGGCACGAGCGTGGTTGGAGCACCTACCGTCCAACGCCATTCAAAGTTGGGCCGATCTCATGGAGATCTTTGTGGGTAGCTTCCAGGGCACGTACAAACGCCCTGGAACCCATGGGACCTCAAGAACTGCCGCCAGAAGGCCGATGAAACCCTCCACGGGTACATCCGGCGCTTCTCCCAGCAGTGCAACGAGCTCCCTAACGTTGCCGACATGATAGGAGCCTTCCTTTCCGGGACAACCTGCGAATCCCTGGTCCACAAGCTGGGACACAGGGGCCCGCGGACCACCAAGGAACTCCTGGACATCGCCACCAGCCATGCCTCAGGAGAGGAGGCGGTCAGAGCCGTCTTCGACCGCATCAATGGCAAGACAAGGCGGGACGAGGCCACCGACGAAGCGCCTCCGACCGTCCCGCCAAGAGAAAGAATAAGAAGCAACGGCGTGACAACTCGCTCGTGGCCGTCGCCGACCGTAAAGGTGGCCGGAAGCCCGCGGAAGGCACTCCGAACCACTTTGAAAAAATGCTCGAGGGGCCATGCCCAAACCACGCTTTCCCGGCCAAGCATCTATACAAGGAATGTGGCCTCATGCGCAAATACTTGTCCGAGTGCCTCAATAAAGGGGAGCAGGGGAAGGAACCTGTCCCCAGCACAGACGACATCGAGGAGAAGGACGACACCTTCCTGACTCCAAACGGCGCCCTCATGATTTTCAGAGGATCGGCGGCCTACGACTCCAAACGCAGCCAAAAGGTCGCACGCCGCGAGGTCTATACGGCCGAACCGGCCATGCCTGCCTTCCTCCGATGGTCAGAATCCGCCATAACCTTTGACCAGGCCGACCACCCGGGCGTCATCCCACACCCGGGAAGGTACCCGCTTGTCATCGACCCGATCGTCGGCCCAAAACGGCTCACAAAGGTACTGATGGACGGAGGCAGCGGCCTCAACATCATGTACGCCAAAACGCTCGACAAGATGGGCGTCGATCGAACGAACCTCCGTCCCGTCCGAGCACCTTTCCATGGCGTCGTACCTGGTAGGCAGGCCATGCCACTGGGGCAGATCGATCTGCCCGTCACTTTCGGGGATCGGTCCAATTACAGGACTGAGACCCTCACCTTCGACGTAGTGGGGTTCCCTCCAACTTTTCACACCATCCTAGGACGACCGTGTTACGCGAAGTTCATGGCCGTTCCCAACTATACGTACCTTAAGCTGAAGATGCCGGGCCCCCGTGGGGTCATCACCATCGACACCTCCTTCCAGCGCGCTTATGAGTGCGAAGTCGAATGCTGCGATCACGCCTCCGCAGTCGTCGCCACCAAAGACCTCGCCACCCTCAGGGAGGAGGTTGCCGAAAAAACACCCGACGCCAAAACAACAACTGGGTCATTCAAACCAGCAGAGGGCTCCAAGGAGGTCCACATGGACCCCAGCAGCTCCGAGGCTAAGAGGGTACGTATTGGTACATCGCTCTCTTCTGAATAGGAAAGCGCGCTCATCGACTTCCTCAATGATAACAAAGACATCTTTGCGTGGAAACCCTCGGATATGCCAGGCATCCCGAGGGAGGTCGCCGAGCATGCTTTAAAAACCACCCAGACTCCAAGACAGTAAAACAGCGCCTGCGCCGCTTCGATGAAGAAAAACGTAGGGCCATCGGCGAAGAGATAGCAAAGCTGTTGGCTGCTGGGTTCATCAGGGAAGTATACCACCCAGAGTGGCAAGCAAATCCCGTTCTTGTACGAAAGAAGAACGGGAAATGGAGGATGTGTGTCGGCTACACGAGCCTCAACAAAGCGTGCCCAAAGGATCCGTTTCCTTTACCACGCATTGACCAAATAGTTGATTCCACCTCAGGGTGCGAAACCCTCTGCTTCCTTGACGCATACTCCGGCTACCACCAGATCGCGATGAAAGAGTCCGACCAGCTCACGACGTCTTTTATCACCCCCTTCGGATCGTTCTGCTACGTTTCAATGTCATTCGGTCTAAAGAACGCTGGGGCAACTTACCAGCGTTGTATGCTCAACTACTTCGGGGACCTCATCGGGTGGACCGTTGAGGCTTACATCGACAACATCGTAGTTAAATCCAAGCAGGCCGAACACCTTGTCGCCGACCTTGAACAAACCTTTGCGAAACTCTGGGCAAACAGCATCAAACTCAATCCCGAAAAGTGTGTCTTCGGGGTCCCGAGGGGCATGCTGCCCGGTTTTATTGTCTCCGAACGTGGAATCGAAGCCAACCCAGAGAAAATCTCAGCCATCACAAAAATAGGCCCAATCCAAAACATAAAGGGGTTTAGCGAATCATAGGATGCCTTGCCGCCCTCAGCCAATTCATTTCGCGCCTCGGCGAATGAGGACTTCCCCTTTATCGTCTCCTTAAGAAATCCGACCACTTTGAGTGGACAGCCGAGGCTCAGGAGGCGCTTGACATGGTTAAACAATTTCTAACTAAACAGCCGAGGCTCAGGAGGCGCTTGACATGGTTAAACAATTTCTAACTAAACCGCCGAGGTTCAGGAGGCGCTTGAGTGGACAACCGCTCACAACTTGAGTTGGGTCATCCACAAGCTCCGCCGGATGATCACCAAACTCCCAATCACCACTAAGTTGTCTAGGTGATGGCGATCACCAAGAGTAACAAGCACAAACTCTCACTTAACCACAACCCATGAAAAAAATTGCGCGCTATATAATTTAGCGGCGGCCACTCCTGGGAGCTATGCGCCGCTATAGCCGCGCTATAGCGCCGCTATAGCCGCGCTATAGCGCCGCTATAGCGCCGCAGCGTGAGATAGCTGCTCACGCTATATCGCCGCTATAGCGCGCTATTTATATACAGCCAGGCAAAAAAATAATAAACAGTCCAAACAGGCAACATATTCATAGTTTCATACTTCCATACAGTCTAAACATCCATAAGGTTCAAATATTCAGTAGCTAACATGAAGCAACAATAACAGAGGGTACTCTGGATTAGGGTTAGAGGGCTCAAGATGGGCCTAAATCGACTGCCTTTTTTTTTTTTTGTTGTCAGGACATGAAACAGCAATAGCGGCGATTTAGCGCGCTATGGCGCTATAGCGGCAATAGTGGCGCTATAGCGCGCTAGAGCGGCAATAGCGCGTATAGCGTGAAAATGCAAGATATCGTCGCGGCGAGCTATCTGGGACGCTATTAGCGCGCTATAGCGGCAAAATAGCGCGCTATTTTTTTCGTGGACCACAACAAACCTAATGAGAAGAGTGGATGCACACTTTGCTACTCTTACTTTCACTAATGAGGCCTCTCTTTTGGATTCTCATATCTCAATCACCTCACTAGGACCTTGCTCTTCTTGGCACTCTCAAAGATGTTTCTCAGCTGTTAAAATGAGCAAAAGTGATCCCTTGAGTGAGTAGAGAAAGTATTTATAACCCCTCATTTAAAATGAACCATTATGTGCCTCTGCGGGGTAACCGAACGCTCTGGTCAAAGTGACCAGACGCTCCGGTCAGTTCACCCGCCACTAAGCCGTTTAAGTTGTGACCGGACACTGACCAGCGTCCGGTCACAAAAACTGCTCTCTGAAACCTTACTGATGTTGACCGGACTGCGGCACCAAACGTCTCGATCACTTTTCTTTCGTCGCCGCCGGTCGGCCAAGCGGAACTGGATCGGCGTCAACAAGATCGACGGACATGTCCGATCAGGATTCTCCCTCTCTGAAACCTTACTGGAGTTGACCGAACTCTGGCACCCAGCGTCAGGTCATATTTCACTCAGCGTCCGATCACAACCAAACGACTTCACCTTGATCAAATGAACTGACCAAACGTTGCGCCAGCGTCCGGTCACACCGGAACCAGCGTCCGATCAACATTTGACCCTCCATTCACTTCAAACTCGCAATCATATGTGAATGAAATTTGCTCCAATTAATCTTAGGGCTACTTAAAAGCTACCTAGTGCTAAATTTGACAAGTATGCACCACACCTAACCCACTAGACTCACCTAGGTCTAAGCTACCCGTCCATACCCCCTTAATAGTACGGCCAAAGGAAAAACAAAGTCCTAAACTACTCTAGGTGTCTCTTCAACACCAAACGACACTTAGAACTAGTCCATTCTTAACATTATCGTCCATCCTTTGAAAACCGAAACGATTTTCATCGTAGGGGCATGACAACCATGATTGCCCAATCAATTACCATTACCATAACCTAACTTAATTGCATCTGTAAAACACACGTTAGTCACAGTAATCTCGTATTGTCATTAATCACCAAAACTCAAATAGAGACCTAGATGCTTCCACAGGGCTTTCCCCTTTTCGAAAAAAAAATCAAAGATGAGCAGCTATCTCCAAGTGCCACTACTCCTAGTTCTAATAGCAAGAACTTTAATTGCACTGTACAGGTTCGTTAAAAAATGAACAAGTGTTGTATGCATAGTATATATACTGACAGAATATTATCAAGGAAACCAAATGGGAGTGGAAAATCAATTATTCTTCCAGAGAAATCGCCCTATTTAGTAAGTTATTAAACACACTGTGAACCGTCGTTGCACAACTCGCTGGCCACTACACTCAAGACGGTCAATACTCCTCCGTGGAATCAAATAGATGGAATCAGAGAAGTGAAAATATAGCACATGCCATAGTTATAAGTTCGAGCATTAACATAGACCAGACATATGTATAAATGTGAATCCATGAATTCATTGGTTGTCCTTGTCGGCATGAAGATTAGTTATGGATTACTTGATTGACCCGTTACACATATGGAATCCTCATTGTTTCCTTCGCTAGCAACAGCTTCTTCTTCATGGTCGATATCCATGATTGATATTGAAAATCCTCGCCCAATCGCAATCCTGCCAGACAAAGATATTCTACAAGTTTGGCATCATTGGAAATGAGAATATAGTAATAATGCTTAAAGAGTGCAACATGGAGATACAGAAAATGGAGCTGGCTGTCCAGAACAAATCATTGGCATGTTTCAACAAAGGGCAAGACTTATTGATTATTCATAACTAGCCTAAATTCTCGTATACTGCAAATGGCTCCTCACCGATAGTACGGAACATGCAGCAAAGTCATTAATGATCTTAGGCAGTCAAAAGATGAAATAAAAAGAACATAGACAAGTACCTTCTTGAACCCATCAAACATGCGAGAGCGCGAACATACACACCACTGCTAAAGTCAACAGTTGTCTTGAGCCTGCGCAATATTTAGTAATCACTTGCAAATTTCCCAAAAGTAGAGTTAAATATTTATATGTAAACAAGGCACCAAGGTTTATACTAGTTCCATAGTACAACAATGAATGACAACATTAATTAGGGGTTCAAGTTTGAAAAAGATATTCTAAAGTAGTCACACTCCTGGTGATTACCTGAAATCGATGGTGCTCCACACATGAATGGTGCCATGTTTTGAACATGTAACTAGATATGGACGACCAGGAATGGAAATGACATGACAAACTGGAGACATAAAACCTTCCAGAGTATGAATGCACGCCTTTTTCTGCAAGTCCCATATCTGATTTTACAGAAACAGACCATATAGAACTTTAGCATTAGTGTTTGTGTTATATGTGTGTGTACACGTACTTTATTAACTAGTGTGGTGTTCAACAGCAATAACACATATACATATACCTTGGCAGTACAATCATCAGAGCCGGTGATCAAATACTGCCGATCAGCACGCGTGAAATAGGCAAGGCAGTTCACAGTCTCAAAATGCCCAGACAAATGATAGTTAGGCTCGGAGGAATCAAGGCTCCAAACCTGAACATCAAGCATAGGATCACGTAAGGAACCCGGCTCTACTATCTCATTAACAGACAGATTCGCAAAGCTGTTGGGGTCCTCTGGGTTAAATGCTTGACACTTGCTCTTGGGAGGTTCATCTGGGTCAAATGATTTGCACTTGCTCTTGGACCCAAATGTTTGTGTGCATTCCCATCCCTTGTCGCCGTCCCAAAGTTCCATTACCGACTTTGACGATGACAACACATATGGCTTGATTGGATTAATGGCTATTGAGTATTGTATAGGTTTAGAATCAAGATCTCCGAAACTCACGATCTTCTTTATTTGTGTTACACAGACACAGTCGTACAAATGGATTAAACCATCACGTGTCTGAGCCACAATCCAATGCTTTCTTGCATCAAATTTCACGCTCATAACTGCAGTGAGGGACTTGGTCAGTTCAATGGTTAGCTTGGCAGTGTACTCACGAGGAATTAACTGAGGAATTAAAGCTTAGTCACGAGAGGAGTCAGAAAGAATTAATGCCTGTTTCTTCTGATATTTTAAAGAATGTTTGCACCAGTTCCTGCGTGTAAGAAAGATTTTTTTTTAGTTCAACATATACGCAAACCAAATGGGCGACATTTTCACTTGACATACAGAACTGCAGAACTTAGTTCTGATATCCCTTTGTGTTTATTAGTAGTATATGGTCAAAAAAAGCGACGAGAAAATAAAGGATATGACTACAGTGTTTCCATTAGCAACAAATATATCATTGGTCTTGCATTGAACAAATGGTGGCAGTAGATAAACTTAATATATAAGTTCAAATATACAAGCTACGACTATGGTACGTACCAGGAGTATGTGTACATGCTACAAAATCTTAAAATCTACTTCCTCTGTACCAAATTATAAGACGTTTTAGTCTACTAAAACAGTGTGCTAGAGCGACTTATAATTTGGTACAGAGGGAGGACATACGAAGAGAAATCATTGACTTGCCTGTGTGTCACAATTCCACATGCAAGCGTCTCCATTGAGATGTCCTGTTATAATCCTGTTCGTGACAATTATTAGTTATTAGGAAGAGTTATAACTGCCGGTGAGAACTGTTAGACTAGCCACAATGGGAGTATCATAAGCAGTATCATGCTTGACATGTTGGCAAAAATCTGATGTGGCGGCACAACAATTAATAAGGAGAGCGATGAGAGTGGTATCATAATATGATACTGTATCATATCACATAAAACTAGAAAATTTAATGGCAAATACATCATGTACACAAATTTGCATTGAGATTCTAGAAAATATTAAATATGATGAAACTATTATACCACCTGATGATACTATGCATTATAGGGGTGGTATCATAAACTAGTATCATATGCATGATACTAGTGTATGATACTTTCCATTGTGATGGCAAGTTAATGTCGTCCAACAGACTAATTAACGGTAATTAAAACGATATATCTCGAAGAGAACAAAAAAGTAAAACTCTAATGCTCATATCATGATATACACACCAGGGCTCAGTTGGATGTGCATCCAGACAATGCAGCCTGCCATCACGATTCATCCAGGATGTGATCTGATCCAGATAAAAATAAAGGTTTGGTCGATACTAGAAAAATAGCTGAAGTTCGAAAATCATGAGAAAAAAAATAATCCATACGTACGTACCGTCATTGCTGGTGCGATTACCGGCTACGTACATCATATTTAGTACCACCAGCAGACCCAGAGCAAATTAATGTACATATGCATGAAAGGACACGATCAGTGTACAACATATATATTTACGGGCGATGCCGGCAGCATTTAATATATATACTCCAGAAAGGTCAACTCTTCTTAGTGATTTGTCTGACTCAAACTCTAACCTTTAAAACCGTCGTCCAAGTAAAACATGAACTTTCGATAATCATATATGGCATGTATAACATTTTAGAAAATCGAGTACTTAGTTTAGACTTCATAATCTAGGGTTCACGTCGGACCAACTCACCTCAAACACAGTTGGAGTATAGACAAATTTCAGTGGCACCTCATGCACCGCGTGTCCCAGCTCTTTGGCTTGGTCGAAGAACTCATGGCACTCGGTAGGTCTTGCGAGTAGCACCATGTTTTTATCCCCTAATATGCTGCTCTGCACGACAATATCCATTTCTGTATCTATTTCGTTGTCCTGATCCGTTATCACAATCAAACGGCAAGTGGATCTGGGATGCACAGTGCCATACAGTGGCAGGTAATCCCACGAGTCGGAATGTTGGTCATCTACTACTTTTGCAACTCTGAATACCACATGCTCATCTGTCTTGTTTGTTAGGTGCAGTGAGCGTACGTTGTGTGGTTTACGGTGGAAGAGGAGCTCAAGCGGGTGAACGTCAAGTAGCTCAATGGAGCCTACCATTACCTGCTAAATAGGTAAAGCATTTGATTGATGCAGAACAGGTGATTGCTTCTCCACACTAAGAAAATAAGTTGCGGCTACAAATACGATCAAGTCAAAAGGGGAAATATAGCATGCATACATAGTATTTCCCTAACAATCTCCACCCACTTAATCTAAACTTGAAGTAAATCTGGATCCTTCCGAATCTTCTTCTACTCCCTCCGGCCAGAATTATTTGTCATGGTTTTAGTTCAAAATTCGGGCTAGAGGGAGTAACTAAATTTTTCCATGCATGGTTATAAAATATCTAAAACATCATATAATAATTCGGACCAGAATTATTATATGATGTTTTAGATATTTTAATACGGACCATATATGGACCGAAATATGTGAGCCTAAACGCGTCTAGATGCATACATTTTTAAAAAAAAAACATAAAACATAGAGTACTATTTTATACTACTGCATTGGATAGATAACCAAGAGAAAATTAATACATGGGGATGTTACTAGTTTTATTTAAGCAACATATAGACGGTCAAATAATTAAGCTCCGATGTTCTGAATTTTTTTCCTGTAAGGACAGGTTCTAGTAATACTTTAGTGCACCGTATACTTTCAAACATTTATAAGTTCATTCAATGAGCCCTCACCTTAGAAGTTATCTCTCCTGTTAACAGTGCCTCGGTATATTCCGTTGGTTCCTCCTGATAGTTCTTATTCTCAACATCCAAAATTGCTACCGCCTCTTTTTTCTCAATCACAACCCTAAGGGATAAAAACAATAAACTTCATAAGTTTAGCATGGCATGGAAAGTTAGTTGATAATGATTGTTCATTGATCGGAGGCCACGACAGACGAGGGCTCCGGTCAGGTGATACATCCAAAACATATCTATGCATTTTAAAGTTTATTTTATCAATTCCTTCAATATTTTCCCTTATTAATATTTACTTTAATATTTTTACATGATTATTGGGATTTTCTAATAAATCTCATTTATTTTTTATATGATTCTAGAAGGCAGAAAAACACTTTTGTGTACTTTTTAACTTTCAGGAACCTTCTAGACACGAAACTTTTCGAGGAATATATCTCGCGAAAGTTTTTATCTGAAACGAAGAGGACTAGCACCGGAAGCACCTAAGAGTCCGCACAATGGGACCAGGGGGTCCGCGACGCGGGCACGAGTTGCCCCCCTAACCAGTGCCGAGAGGGGCCCATGTCCCCTCGAGCGTTCATTTGCGCCGCCCGTCGCCCGAGGACTCTGTATTGACTAAAAATTCCTATATATACGACCCCTTCCGAATTATTCTTGCGACGAGAGTTGCGATATACAAGAAAAAAACACGAAACAGAGAAGAAACAATCCGTCGTTGGAGGAAGACTGGAGGTGGAAACGCGGGAGGAATTGCCTCCGGTCGCATCTCCATCCCTGCATCAACTCCTCTGCTGTCTCCATGAAAAATAGGGAGTACTCTCCTGCAGGAAATTTGCCCTAGATTCAACTATATGATGATGATATTTCACTATGTATTCATGAGATATTTATGTTGTCATTGAATATCATCACTCATATGTTTCATCAAATACGTGACTTCATTGCGAGACTATATATTGTATAATGATTGTTCTAATGGTCCCTAGTCGAGAAAGTTATGGGGACACATAGCCTTAGACTAGTATATGATTCGATTGATGACTATGTTTCACAAGTAATCGGCATGTGATTCTGACTCCATAGTATGGACTCGGGAATGAAGATTATCAAGACGGACAGACCATGCAACGAGATGTTTGTCTTGGTTAGTCTTAATAATCACAACAATGTATATGCCATGTCCTATACCTGAGGTCTTCGCATGTTCCGAGTTGTGAATAGACTTATTTATGGTCTATCAAATGCTACCCCGCGGCAGGTAAGTTACAAAGGTATGTCAAATTAGTCGGGAAGCAAGCTGTGAGGCGTGATCAACCTAGATTTGATTTTCCCCTCCGCCTTAGATATTCTGTGGGCCCTCACGAGTGATCAATGTCAAAAAGCGTGGCCATGTGAAATTGTATCACTGGATCGAGAAGAGAGGTTGAGCTATCAACAAGGATGACAAGCACTCACCTTGAGATTGAGTATATCGTAAGGCAAAAGGAATACAGCATATAACATATTGCCAAGGTTTCCCAAATTGACTTTTATGGCACTGAGTGTTGTCATGTTTTGTTAGGGGCCTCTACCAACTATTGATTGAAGAGAGTAGTGTACCCATGAAGTTAAGCGGTGTACTAGAGAGTTGCACACTTAAGGAGAACAAAATTCACTCGTATAGGATGCGAGTCAATGCGGGCATCTCTGGTTGGACCCCGGTGGTATTTGGAAGAGAGTCTTACTCGGATACGATCCAAATAGAACCTGGTTTAGAGTCCGACCGGGACATAGGTGTAGTGTGCCCAAGAAGACATCTATATAAGGTGGATACGACATGACTGAAAGGTTACAGCTTATTCTAAGGTTTTAGAAACCCAGCCACCACCATCTCCCAAAGTCGTGTGATCGGATCTAGCAATCGGCTGCTCAGCGTTCCGCCCGGAACATGTGGATATGGTAGGCGTTGCACCTCCTCAATAGCTTTCTATGGGTATATCATTTGTATTATTCTGATAAGCGGTTAAAAATTCACATGCAAAATACAGTCCGCTGTTTGTGATCGAAGGCGGAATTTAGTGTTTTCAAAATTATTTTCAGACCACGAATAATTTGCAAAAACTTTATACAGAAAAAAGTTGCGTAAATCTAGTGTCATTCCAACGGTAATACTGTTTACCTCATTCCGACAAACGGTTAAGGAATAGCGGTCAAAACACGTCTCTGTTGTTTTATAACAGATTTCAGTGTTTGTAAAATTAATTCTTTTAATTTATGCCTTGTATTCTCTGAAATGGATGGATATAGTCCATATATTTGAACAAATTTAAGTACGCAGGGAAGCAAACCCTCTCCAAAGTGTGCAGGATAAAAAAACATGAAAATATGATTACCTTTCCATCGAACATGCGAGACCGTGGAGAGCTCCACCGTATCGAACGTCAACGATTCTTTGAAGTCTTGGGGAGCGCGAGCATATCCTGTGGGAAAAAAACATCATATGTTAGTGAAGATCCACATGGGTATATGCATATACTAGTACACCAGCAAGAGTAGTGGGCGTACTTATGACTCGTGTTTACATTCAACTGATTACCTGGAGTTAGCGGTGCTCCACAAATAAATCAAGCCATCATTTGATCCAGTCATGAGAATTTGAAGGTTTGGCTGATATACGACGACAGAAATGACCGGAGACCCCAAAGATTCAAGGGTATATACACATATCTTCCTCTCCATGTCCCATATCTGATTGGACAAAAACAAAGTAAATCATGATGAGCAGTGCTACTGGATTTGTCTAAAAATACACGTACGACATGAATATATATATTTTCGATGAGAACGACAACGGACCTTGGCAGTCTTATCATCAGAGCCAGTAACTAAATACTCCTGATCACCGGCTGTGAAGAAATGTAGGCAGTTCACCTCGCCCGAATGCCCAGACAACATCGTGTAGTCATTTTTGGGAGAATCAAGACTCCGAATCTGTACAAAGCATAGACATATCGGATATCAAAATCAAAGGTCCGCAACACTTGCCCTGACCATGCAAATTTATTTCGGTAGAGGGAGAAATAAGCCGAGACCTCCACTTTGTTCACATCTGAAGCAATAGCAATGGTGTCCATTCGGTTAAATGCGACTGGATATGGGCCGCGCATAGATCCCAGCACTCTAAATATTTGTATGCACTCCCAGCACTTGTCCCCGTCCCAGAGTTTAATTTCTATACCAGACACTGTCAGCAAATACGGCTTGGTTGGATGAACGGCCAGTGACAAGAAACCCTTCCTATTCATCCTCCGCGAGTACGCATCTACATATCCGGCACTCATACTCGTGATCTTCCGTATTTTTGGTTCATAGTTGTAGACATGGATGACACCTATTTCTGTCATAGCCACAAAGCATTGCTTTCGTGCAATAAATTTAACGCATATAACATCTGCATGTAATCAATTCATTATATTGGCATGCCACATTGCATGGTGGAAGAATTAACAGAAAAGCTAGGAATCATACCTTCATACATGGAGAGTCTAAGCGAATCCATTTTTCTCTGCCGTATAAACAAATCATTTTGTTAGTCAATGCAGACCAAAGAATGCACGCATAGAAAGCTACTATTGCTGGTTCAACTATTAGATGTCGAGATCCGAATTCCGATCGAGAAGGATCTCTTATATTTCAGAAGGAAAAAACTGGTTCCTCTGTACAACTAAATATCATTATCTTGCCCTGAATAGAGCTGAGTTACTTTAGTCTAAACAAATACTCCCTCCGTTTCTAAATATAAGACGTTTTGGTAGCTCAAAATAAACTAACAAAACTTTCTATAGTTAGAAACAGAGGTAGTACTTATATCTTGTCCTATTTCCAGTCGTGATAAAATTTCCTTTATACCATTGTCAATACATATTAGTTCCCTCTATGGCACGTTGTATCTCACGGCAAACACTGCTTTTTGGGCAGCAAAAGATAGTCACTTGCCTGTGTCTGGTAGTTCCAAATTCCAACATGTCCTTGTGATCCTCCTGTTATTATCCTAAAACGGAAAAAAACAAGTTGAGAAATTAACATAATATGTTCATTCTTACGCAAATTATACCTCCATCATATTCTCACTCGCATAAAAATAGTAAAAAAGTTATTTAGAATTATTATATTTATTAATGTAATGAATGGCATTATAGCCATTCTCTCTATTTTTTTCCACTTCATCCGTTGCGCAAGCTCGTGAGTCCCTCGCTATGTTACACGCCGTCCACCGTGTCACCGGGCTCCACTTCGACTTCGTCCTTCAGAGACCACACTGTCCCTCGCTGTCGTGCTGGAGGGCCGCCTCCTCTGGTCATATATCAGTCGTCGGCACTTACCGCCGAAGCGGCTGCGAATACCAGGCCACTGGTCTGCCGTGACCCCCGTCAGGACGAGCTCTTCCGGCGGCTCAAAGTACGCCGCCGCAAATTGCCAGCTGTGACGCATGCCGTCTAAGTACTTCGTCTCCTCGTCGATTGATTTTTGGAGGAAACTATAGCCTAGCACGCAAGGCACATGCCCGTAGCTAGCATTCTCGTCGAGACACGCACAACGCCGGCCATCGTTTTACAACAGTTAAATACGGATCTATCCCTCTGGCACATGAAATACTTGTCGCAGATTTATGCAAAATATAGGCTAAAATATGTATTTGGGACTACTTGTCGCAGATTTAGGCAAAACATAGGCTAAAATATGTATTTAGGACTACTTGTCGCAGATTTAGGCAAAATATAGGTTAAAATATGTATTTAGGACTGGAGGAAGTACCATTTAATAATAAATAAATAAAAGGAAATAATAATATAGGTACTAGTCCAACCTTTTTATGTACGGCTCCCTAAAGAATATTCATTCAAAAACAAATAAATCGAGTAAAAATAAGTCCTCTAAATTTTATAATTGATTTATAAAGAATTCGCTCACCATTGCTTTGCATGGTTTATGTCCCAGGAATGCATGTCGTAACATTTGTGTCCAAGACTCTGGTGGTACCATTTACCAATATCTAAAATCTGATTAAATAAGGCCACAGTTAACATTTGGTAACCATCTCAAACGAAATTACTATTTTTACTGCACAATATACGGGTACAAATAAATTTCAAGAGAAAATAAAAATACATACCTTTATTTTGGGCGACATTGGCTGCTAAATAATGACCATGCATGTAATTGCCATCCGGAACAGCCACCATACACCAAAACAAACATATAAATTAAAGGAAAAACGGGGAAAAGGAATATAAAGGGGGAGGCTAGTGGATAATAGGACTCATATGTCATTTGTTTATCTTTGTTCTAAAGAACATTCCACCTTAATTTTAGTGAGACCCACAATCTTCATATTGATACTTAAATAGTAATAGTCTTTGAAGGTCACGATCAATTATATTTCCTTGAAAACTTAAAAGTACAAAATCCACCTTGGATAACGATAATTCCTTTCTGAACTCAGACATTAGAAACAAACATTTTGTTGGTGTTGTTGTTTTGAAGGGCCTAATCCACTAATCCGCATAATTTGTTCCCTATTTCAAAAAGCTGTAACTCTAACCTTCGACGGCATTATCTCTTGTCAGGTAGTATGAACACCTATCAATTTCACCTCCTGCACTTCATTTCCCATCTCTTTGACATCCTCAAAAAATGTGTCGCTTTGGAATTTGTCGATGTGTTCGTCTCCCAGTATTGTGATCTTGAGGATCATACAGATGTTTCTCCTTTCTAGCTCATTTCTCTCTTCCGTTGTCAGAACGAGAGTGTAAGTGGACCTGGGCGGCACAAGGCCGCACAGTGGCAATTTTACAAAGCACGGCCCAGACTTATTGCTCCTGTCCATAAGCCTAAATGCCACTTGTTGATTCGTATTGTTTGTTAAGTGCAGTGAGCACGGAATCACCTTGTTGGATTCGAACGGGAAGTAGAGCACGGGCGGGTGAACGTCAAGCAACTTGCTTTGTCCACCTGCAGCTGGGATTACATGCACATTTTCCATTTCAGCCAGCCTATCCATGATATCTTTCATACTATCTGGTCTGTTCGCTGGGTCAGAGTCAATGCACTGTATCGCAATCTCAGTGCATACTTTTATTTGTTCCCACTCTGAGTTTCGTTGAGATATGTCCAACCTATTATTCCAACTTTCAAGTACCTAGGAAGTTCCGATCACAAATTATGATATCGATCAGTAACATCTCCATCATTATATAGAAAATTAAAATATAAACCCAGAACTCGATGGTTACATGCCAATCACACCAATCCAAACAACTACTCCCTCATTAGAATGTGCACTCATTGCTTCTAGTCAGATGATCTAACTGATCTAGCGTAAATTGCACTACTTCCGCAAATAACAGTATATTTATATTTACATGTAGGACCTGTAGTTTTGTAGTAGTGCTATATGTTAGATTACTGTGCTACTAATCCCTTTGGTCTTTGTGCTAGTCTTTTACTGCTATTTAAGTCAGCTGTACGCCACCCTATGTGGCTATGTGAACAGGCCCCTTGGGCCTCTATATATTGTAATCCCCTGTGTAAACATAATTAAGGATGCTAAGCCTATTGGCTTTACTGTCTATCACTATATATGTGTACGCCTTTGGATACCATGTTCATATTGTTTCTTGTGAACAAGCAAACTAGCGACCAAGAAAAACATTATGACAACATCTATAGCCGATTTATGTTTTGCACGACTTGATGTGCTCCCAAAGATGATAGCATTATGCGAACAAAAGGAGAACGACATTAATGTAGTTCCTGGTATCTAGAAGTACAATAAAAGAGATAACAGCACTATTTCTAACCCAAGACTTGCCCTTAGCTTGGAAATTAAGCCAGACGTTCAAAACCTTGTTCTTACCTCATGAACAGCTTGATACCCCTTCTTTCCCGTTATTATCTCTATGATCAAAACGCCAAGACTGTACAAGTCAAACTTCTTGGTGATTCGCTTGCTGTTGAATTCGGGTGCCATATATCCACTGCATGAAAATATACATGGCCCGATCAAGTCATACACACGAGAAGTTCACTACAAATTAAAGCTGACAAAAAGTAAATATTAAAGTGTCAGTAGGTAGCTTACCACGTGCCAACCACTTTTGTAGCAGTGACATAGGCTTTGTCTTCTCTAAAGCACCTTGAAAGACCAAAGTCAGTAATTTTCGGAACCTCGTTCTCACCCAGTAGTATGTTTCCTGGTTTAAGATCCAAGTGCACTATACTTTCCTGGTGAAGGTAAGATAATCCTTCACATATTCCTTTTATAATCCTGTACCGGTTTCTCCATGGAAGTCCCGTGGATGGATCTACAAATAGAATGCAAGAAGAGGCGTTTAGTTTTTAAGATACTTAGTGTTCTTGAATTTTTGAAGACATGCTGACAGTATACAACAAATAGATAACTGAGCCTTGTTATTCTAATTTGTCGACTTTGAAATAGTCATCACAAGTCAAGCTAGTCCCACACAGTTTCTAAGATGTACCACTAGAATATTTTCACAGGATAAAATAGTCAACCTCTTGGACCGTTGGCTAGATAGAAGAACCTTTCATTGACTTACAACTCGAGAATAACTAAATGTTTATTGAGATTAATCTGTCACTTGAACAAAGTAACAAAAAAGTAAATATCGAAAGAAGTTAATGTTAGGCTGGACATGATCGATGTACCTTTGATACAGCCATCAAGAGCTCCGTTAGGAACATACTCAAAGCAGAGTAATCTTTTTTCTTTGTTCGACTTGACAAATTTTCCCTTGTTCCTTCTCATATCCCATTGTGTGTCACCACAATATCCAAGGAATCGTACTATGTTTTTATGCTTCACGCTCAGGAGACATTCAAGCTCTCTTTTATATTCTTTCTCGTCCATAGACTCTTCAGTTATCTTCTTAACAGCAACGAAATCATTTTCAACCATTCCCTGCACCCACAAGACGTATTTATTTTCAGCATGCGTGCACTCTGTTTCAGATAAAATTTGATCAGTTTTAACTGTACGTACCTTATAAACCTCGGCGAAGCCTCCGCTGCCAATTATCAGCTCCTGGGAGAAATTATTCGTGATTTTTGACAAAACTGACAATGACAGGGCCCCAGGTTTCATGTCTTCATCATATAGCATGCGGTGCAGGTCACTTACTGTAGTAATTCTAGCTCGTGGATTCATTGGACACCCCACTTTTTATACTAGCGTACAGTTACCTAGCTTGAAACAAGAGAACGCGTGTTACTTGTGAGGCCAATTGCTAGACAACATTAACTTCCCAATTACTGAAGTAATTATTCTCATGACATGGACCATAAATTTACAGAAACGAAATCAACTTCTGTTCTACAAAAGTACAAATAGAAAACTTGACTCTAATATAGGCTAGCTCTGTTTGTATTCAATGCATGGGCAGATATCTCTAATTTGAACAGAGAGAAAGCATATATATCACAATAAGATGTCCGGAAACACAGCAAGCATATCTTATCCAGAAACCAAACCCTGCCGCTTTTTTTCTCTACCTGTTAAGATCTACTGCTAGAAAAGCTTGGTAAGTAACTACATATGTTAAACCAGAAGCAGGGAGCTGCGATGATGCTGAACACGGTTAAGCAGAGGTGCTGAAAGAGAGGACGGATGGAAATTACCTGGCTGGAGAAGCCCTTGCCGCCGCCTAGTAAATTAGCAGTTTTCAGATCTATGTTGCCTAGTCTGCTGAAGTAGAGGTGCTGAAAGGGAGTGGAAGGGAGGGGAGTTTAGTAATGGGGAGGTGAGGGGATGTGATATACTATCATATCAGAGAGCTGACGTGAGATCTAGATCTGCATTCAGATATGGTTAACATACATACGAGCAAAAGGACACGCGTAAAAGTAAGACGGACTACTCTCCAAATCATACGAGCAAAAGGACACGAGTAAAATAAATGATTGATAGACTCCGGAGAATCACAGAAAACGCATTTATTACAACCATTCCATTTACGCCGTGCCAGGTTATCCTTTGTCAAAATAACTTTCTTATGAAGGAACCACATAAAGATCTTCATCTTTAACGGAACCTTTAGTTTCCAAATATATTTGCGTAGGAAAAACGTGTGACCATTTATCAGATCCGCGTAGAAAGATTTTACAGTAAAAGATCCCGACGGAGTAAGTGACCAAACAAACTTATCTGGTTCGTTTGTCAATATGACCAACATTAGTCTCTGAACTAAATGAAGCCATGTGTCCCAATTGTTTGTAGACATAACCCTTCTAAACCCAACATTTAAAAGATTCAATGATAGCACCTCGTGGACCAAGACATTTCTTCGTCGCACGATATTATAAAGGGACGGATATTGTTGAGCCAGAGGCGTATCTCCTTGCCAGAGGCGTATCTCCTTGCCATATGTCTTCCCAGAAATGCGTGTTTTGACCATTACCTATTGTAAAGGAACCTCGATCGAAGAAGTCACTTTTGACTCTCATTAGGCCCATCCAGAACTGAGAATCAGTGGGCTTTGTTGTCACTTGTGACAAAGTCTTGTTTTTGAGATACTTGTTATGAAGAAGTTCCTGCCAAACTCCCACCTCATTCAAAAGTTTAAACAACCATTTGCTTAGTAGACAATTATTTTTGATGTCTAGTACCTCAACACCTAGCCCACCTTGATCTTTAGGTCTACAAATTATATTCCATTTGGTTAAGCGATACTTAAGCTTCAACTGGTCACTTTGCCAGAAAAAAGCGTGACCTATACAAATCTAATCTTTTCCGTGCCCCTTTAGGTATTTCTAGAAAAGACAATATAAACATGGGAAGACTCGTAACAACGGAGTATTTGAGGATAAGCCTATCCCCATATAAGAGAAGCTTTCCTTGCCAGCATCCCAATTTCTTCTCGAACCGGTTCTCCACTGGATTCCATTCTTTGTTAAGCAATGTTCTATAGTGAATTGGTATACCAAGATACCGGAAAGGAAGAGAACCAGCAGTGCAAAGAATGAGTGCAAAGTCATGTATGCAGATTGAGTCAATGAGTGTATTAACTTGGTTCCAAGGGAGCAAATCAAGCTAAGGATCAAACTATAAGAACATAAGAAAAATAATGCATCATATGACCACTCCTGTTAGCTCAACTGGTTGGGGGGAGTAGATGTACAAAAGCGGCATGGGCAGATATCTCTAATTTGAACAGAGAGAAAGCATATATATCACAATAAGATGTCCGGAAACAGAGCAAGCATATCTCATCCAGAAACCAAACCCTGCCGCTTTTTTTCTCTACCTGTTAAGATCTACTGCTAGAAAAGCATGGTAAGTAACTACATATGTTAAACCAGAAGCAGGGAGCTGCGATGATGCTGAACACGGTTAAGCAGAGGTGCTGAAAGTGAGGACGGATGGAAATTACCTGGCTGGAGAAGCCCTTGCCGCCGCCTAGTAAATTAGCAGTTTTCAGATCTATGTTGCCTAGTCTGCTGAAGTAGAGGTGCTGAAAGGGAGTGGAAGGCAGGGGAGTTTAGTAACGGGGAGGAGAGGGGATGTGATATAGCTGACGTGGGGAATTTTAACCTTTTTTTTTTCCATCCTCACCGATGACATTGCTCCGTTTACTATCTTTATACGCGTTTCTACAAATTTACCATCATAAATAGTAATCCTCCTACATTTTTGTCATTTTTATTGAGGTGGCACACCAGCGTGGCAAGGAGCCAGGGAAGGCCTATAAAGCATGCGAAATGACCTATGTACCTCTGCTGCTTCTCTCCCTCCGATCGCTAATGCATGGGCCCCACATGTCACATTTGTCTTCAACCCTCGCAATCACCCGCTCAGCATCGGCAGCCGCACGTACAGCGCCATTCCGTCCTCGACATGTGGGTGATGGCGCCGCTCAGACCTAATAAAATAAATAAAGCAGCACCATAGTCACACGCCTATATATACAGAAAAGATTATAAGAGCAGCACAATGCATTCAGGCATGGTCTTTTTTTGCCAGAACAGCGACCCTATGTATAATCAAAATAAATACGTACACAAAGAAAATGAATTCAAGGGATCAGAGGCATAATCAAAATGAATACCATACGAAGACCAAACAAGATCAGGGAGGAAGAAATGGAGCAAAGCATGTATTTACATAAGTGCTATCCATTCACAGATGTACGGATGCGCTAAACTAATATGGAGATGGGGATGGGGATTAATGGAGAGAATCACGTGTACCATCATAAACAAGAAGTAGATTTGGGGGAAAGAACAACATCTTTTGCAAATCCAAGGCACAGAGGTGTTCCCGTTGCAAGAAAACGAATGGATCTATATTCATCTATGCATCACTACATAATAAATGGAGAGATGGGGATGGAGGGAAGCACCTGAATCCCTCAACCCACAGTACAAATGAGAGGAGGGAAACAGAGGAGACTGCAATGGGACCAACACAGAGGAGAGGAATGACCTTGCTTCACCTGGGAGACGCCACGAATGGAGCAGGGGGCGCTGCTGTGCACGGACAGGGGGGACTGGAGGGGATGGCCGGTGACGGAGAGGCAGAACCTGAGGTCGGCGCCGCCGCCGTGTTGGGGCCCACCGTCGCCCCGCCTATGCGGCATGAGGGGCGTGGACGAGGACAAGGGCGGCCGCCGCCGCGCGGAGGCCGGCCACCGCAGAGGGGGATGACTTGTTGACGCCGCTAGCTCCCCTTGCTCGGTGGTATGCACGTCCCGATGGAGATCTTCTTCGCCAGAGGAATGCTCGCGGCAGACATCTTCTAGGGGGATCAAGAGACTGGAGAAGAGAACAAACTAGAGGATGGTTGCCTTGGATTTGATGACATCGTCACCAGAGGTACGTTCACCTACATTTTGGCATCGATCACCGACAGATCGTTTCTTGAAGGTCCCAGTCCTGGCTCCTTTTGTGTTTGTTTTAGAGAGCTTCAATGCTAAAGAATGGATTAGGGTTCAGAGGAGAAGAAATAGAGTAGCTCTTCGTCGAGCTCAGGCTCTAGTGAGATTCATGGCGTGCCATAGTGGTCGTCGGCGATCACCTCCGCACATTTCGGATAAGACATGCATAGGCGATGTCGGATCCTATTTCAAAAAAATTCAAAAGCTTGGGTGCAATAGGCATAAGGCCCATAAAGTCATTGTCGGGTTCATAAACCCGGGGTCCCTCATGGACCTGCTTCCCAGCAAAAGCTCGGCCTAGTAGACGACGTTGCGAACGACGCACAACTCCTGGGCCGGCCTAAAAAACCTAACGACAGGCCAGGAGGGCGATCCAGTCTTCGACCGGAAGGCCTGGCCAAGAAGGAACGGCGCTTCCATCGCTTCCGACTCCGGCCCGCCTCTCCGACTGGAAGGCTTGGCCAAGGAGGACCGGCGCTCTTCTCCGACTCCGGGCCGCCTCTCCGACTGGAAGGCCTGGCCAGATTTGCTCCGACTCCGGCGCTCGCTTCTGACTCCGACCCGCCTTTCCGACTGAAAGGCGTGGCCAAGAAGGAACGGCGCTCGCGTCCGACTCCAGCCCACCTCCGATCGGAAGGCCTGTCCGAGAAGGGACGGCGCTCACCTCCAACTCCGGTCCGCCTCTCCGACCGAAAGGCCTAGCCAAGAAGGGACGATGCTCGCCTCCGACTCCGATTCGCTTCTCCGACCGGGAGTACATCGAACCTCTACTTATAGCTCTTCTCTGATCGGGAGACCGGAGCCAACTGGGAAACGACCGACCGGGGACACCCGCTCGGTGAAGACCCAGGAAGAGGACAGAGTAAGTAAGGCAGGGCGCTCCAGTCAAACACAATATCAAAGGCCGTACCCTGCACACCTGCAGGGCAGTGCTGTCAGGCCGTGTCAAAAGGATGCACCGCAACCTTCCAGACATGTCAGAACATGAACAATGTTGTGAGCGCCGACATTTATCCTATAGTATGGTAGACGCCGACATCTGCCATACCAGAAGAAGACGATGGAACATACCACATGCATCTGAACATCAACAGTGTTGTGGACGCCGACAAACCGCCTTATACCCGACGGCATGGGCAACAAGACTAGCTAGCACACACACTCTTTCTCTCACACTCCCTCTTGTAAAAGCCGTCCCCTTCATCTATAAAAG